TCATGTCGTTTAGTTTTACTCCTGGGTACAGCAAATGTCTTGTGCCGCCGAAGAGAATAAGTAGGTGTTGGAGCCATACGTATGGTGGCTTCATCACGCCTCTCTCTCAATGCTGGGAGAGTTGAAGTCAGATGCCTATTATCCGACAGCATCACTTTTGGATGCTCTCTAACTCCTCAGAGAGACCTTTCGGAAGTCCACCCATACTGGACTAGCATACTCGAGAACTGGCCATATAAAATCAAGTATACCTGCACTAAAACATCACAAGGAAGCCCCGCTTTTTTAGCAGCACCTTCGAAATCATGCACTTAATGTGGGCGCCCCATGACAAGTCAGGGGATATTTGAACTCCAAGCAATTTAAAGGTGGAAACTCTGCTAATTGCATGTCCTGAGATAACGGGAGAGGGAGGGGAGGGAATGTTGTCCTCTCTCCTGGCACTAACTACCATGTCTTAGCTCCATTCATCGCCAATCTAAATCCCTGTCCCTACTTCACTACAGAATCCAGTGCCTTCTGAGTGAGTCCAGGTGAGGATCCCATTTGAAACTCTGTGATTGTTAGATCATCAGCATATTTCACAGGTATTACCGAAGGAGGCAAATATGAATCCAGGCCATTTCTGCATTTGACAAAAAGCAGAGGTGATAGTAGTCCTCCTTGAGGAACACCAGCTGGAACTGGAAAGGAGTTAGACACCTTCTGCTCTCTGTTATTCAGATAGCTCTTTACAATAAGTCAATACTGAAGTGCATACTGAGGATCTGAGAATCAAAAACAAGAACATTGTCATTATCTGGCCACTGTACAAATACCATGACATTATATGTAACAATTCAGCAGCTATCAAATACAATGTATTTATATGACAGGTTTTATGATATTCACAGATAACAAGAAAACATTTTTTTTGTTGTTTTTAGGCCCATTGCGCTTTTTATTTATTTATTTTTATTAAGGCACTTTTATGACACACATTGCATATCCTAGAAAATAAATAAATATACATATTTTTAATTACACAAATAAAATTACATTTGCTTTCTTTTTTTCCAAACTTGATTTAACCGGTTTTAACAGTTTGATAAAAATATAACAAAAATTTAAATATTTAATTATATAAATTTAATTAAGAAATATAATAATTTACTGTAACATATCTATCTATCTATCTATCTATCTATCTATCTATAACAAAATTATGGTATAGACATGACTGATACATAAAAGGCGAAGAGGCTTGATTCAAAGCATTTTTTATTTTATAGGATTTTTCAGATTTTGCGTAAAGACACTATTTATTTATGTACATACATATTCAGTTTGTTTATAGAACTACATACAGTGCTTGCTTCTATATTTCACTTATTAAAAACCCTGTTTTAGGGGATTTTTATACATTTTTATATTACATCAAGATTATAGATTACAAATATTCGATCATTAAAAAAAAAAAACAATGAGGAGGTTTAAAAGTAGCAGGTCGGGAACAGCATCGGTGGCGGGATTTGTCGCGCGGGAATCTGTGGCGGGAAATAGAGGCGCTCGCGCTGTCCGCTCGCGGCGTGGTGCTGAAATGACGTCACCGGCGGAAGCACTACAAAAAGCTCGGCAGCGCGCGCGTCCTGAACTCCCCGCTTCAGCTTCATCCGTCTGTTCTGGAACCACGTTTTCACCTCAAATAAACATAAATAAATGCATAAATAAATAACATAAATATCCACTTTCAACATTATGTTTCACTACATTCACAACGTAAACACTAAAATATTCACGTGTTAAGAACAATTTTAACTAATGAATGTGATTCAGTTGCTTGCAAAGCTCCTCATACAGATCGCAATAATTAAAATCTCTAATTACAAGAAATAAATAAATAAAATAAATACAAAAATAAATATAAATAAATTAAAAATATAAAATATTTATGTTTGCAATTCTTTTCCTGCTTTTAGTGACTTGTAACTCTCAAAACTGTTCTTTCTTTCTTTCTTTCTTTCTTTCTTTCTTTCTTTCTTTACTGAAGACTTAATGAATTCAGAAACCAAAATACTAATCTGAAGAACCGATAATGCAACAAATAAATAAACTAACCAACTAACTAATTAATTAATTTAAATTATAAAGTATTTATTTATTTATGTTGCATTATAGGTGCATTATAAATAAAAATTAATTTTAAATATAAAGTATTTATTCATTTATTTATTTATGTTGCATTATAGGTTCATTATAAATAAATAAATAATTAATTAATTTAAAATATAAAGTATAAATAAAAATTAATTTTAAATATAAAGTATTTATTCATTTATTTATTTATGTTGCATTATAGGTGCATTATAAATAAAAATTAATTTTAAATATAAAGTATTTATTCATTTATTTATTTATGTTGCATTATAGGTGCATTATAAATAAAAATTAATTTTAAATATAAAGTATTTATTCATTTATTTATTTATGTTGCATTATAGGTGCATTATAAATAAAAATTAATTTTAAATATAAAGTATTTATTCATTTATTTATTTATGTTGCATTATAGGTGCATTATAAATAAAAATTAATTTTAAATATAAAGTATTTATTCATTTATTTATTTATGTTGCATTATAGGTGCATTATAAATAAAAATTAATTTAAAATATAAAGTATTTATTCATTTATTTATTTATGTTGCATTATAGGTTCATTATACATAAATAATTAATTTCAAATATAAAGTATTTATTCATTTATTTATGTTGCATTATAGGTTCATTATAAATAAATAAATAGTGCATTATATGTTCTGCATAAAAAAAATATTTATTTTAATATTTATTTAGCTATATAGAGACATGCTACCTTGCAGTTCACATGAATAGGCCAGATGTGTGACAAATGCAAATGACTCTTTCACTCTTTCTGAATATAAGTTCAACTCTCTGCTGTCCCGGCTAGAGATGTGATCTCATGCACACCTGTGTCTCCGACAGCTGCAGCTTCTCCGCTGTTCTGCGTCTCTGAGTCGCGCCGAGGTACTTGTGTTTGCTGAAGGTCTTCTCCAGACGCGAGATCTGGTCCGAGCTGAACTTGGTTCTGACGCGCCGCTGCGACGCGGACTCTCCTTCACTCTCATCGCTCTCAGAGGCCGAGGTGTAGCCACAGCTGTCTGATGCGAGAGAAACAACCTGCCAGATCCATCACCAGCCCAGAAAAACCCTGAGTATCACAGACGGTCGTACTTACTTGTAGGAGAAGACGGGGCCTTGGTTTCTCCTTCTCCAAGCATTTCTGAAGATGCTTGAGGAGCACCACTGAAGGCATCAGGAGCACATGGAATTAAGTTGACGCATTTCTCCTGCTCCAGATCTTGTGCATGGAAGCTCTGGGACAACCACTCCACGGAGAACTTCTTGAACATGATGCTTCCTCCTAATAACTTGATCAGATGCATTCCTCCTGAACTTTATAGGCGCTTCTCCGCTCATTTGCATGAGTAAAGCGCCTCTCGGCGGAATCACAACCCTGTAATTGAAGTTAATAGATGTCGCAATGGGCTTGTTCACACGTTGGGTGTACTTGTGATATCCAGGCGCCAGCGAGTCTGAGCACCTCGTGTGTTCACCTCAAGTACCTGAGAAGAGTCATCAATGCACTGATGCAATCAACATCATCCACTCAAGACAAGCCGTCCTCCATCTGCAGATAATGAGAAGATGAAAGAGAGCCGCGGCTTTGGGCGGATCACTGTCGGATTAACTCTTGATCCCCATTGCGCGCGAGTCCTTCCAATCTGTGTCAATTCAGCACGCTTGTTTATTACATGAAATGCATCTCCACATATCATGGGTTTGAGCCGCAAGCTGATGTCACTGGAAGGCTACATGAACGCGTTTGGTGTCTAATGGCAAACATTGAAATGATGCTGAATTATAAATCTACCTGTCGATAAATTGCGTGTATTTTAGGAATATAGATGGAGGAATACTAAACGAATGTTAAAAGTCAAATGAAATTTAAAACCAATGAGATAAGTTCCATCCACGTGTTCAGTTTGATTAAAAACACAGTCTTGTGTTGCGTAAATTCAACAAAATCTGTTACTTCCTAAAGGAACAAATACAGCTACTGATGAATTCAGACACTGCACAAAACACTCACCTGAGGAACCTAGAATTCAACAATACAAACAAACAAACAAATAAATACATAAATACATAAGTACTCATCTAAAGAACCTATAATGTAACATCAAGATCTAAATTTATTTACTTACTGATGATTTGATGAATCCAGAAACCAAAATACTCATTTTGAAGAACCTAATGCAACAATAAATAAATAAATGGTATCATGTAATGTTGCATTACATGCTCAAATAAATTATTTACGTATTTATTTACTTGTGATTTTATGAATACAGAAACCAAAATAGTCATCTGAAGAACTTAATGCAACAATACATAAATAAACAAATAGAAGATAGATAGATAGATAGATAGATAGATAGATAGATAGATAGATAGATAGATAGATAGATAGCATTATATGTATTGTATGTATTATATAATGTTGTGTTACTTGCATGCATGCATACATATTTATTTATTTATTTATTAATGATTTAATGAATCCAGACACCAAAATACTCATCTGAAAAAACTATAATGCAACATCAAGATACATCAACCTTTTTTGCGTTATTACTTTAATGACGGTATACAGTAGATGAAATCATCTCTCAATGAAACCTGCATGATTGATTTTGCTAAATGATTATGAGTTATTAATCTCCATTGGCCTTCAGTAACTAGTTTTAGTTAGTCTTAATGTTATCATGGGATTGATATTAGAGGGTGATCAATACTCTGTCACATCACCACTGTATGAAACAACACACACACACACTCACTCACACACTCACTCACACACACACTCACTCTCACACACACTCACTCACTCACACACACACTCACTCACTCACTCACACACTCACTCACACACACACT